ACACACACACACACACACACACACACACACACACACACACACACACACACGCATACACACACACACGCACACACGTATATATATATATATATACCAGCATAGCCATGCATCTATGTACATAGTGGGTCTATAGTAGTAGGGGGAGCTAGTATTTTAGACCAGCTCTCGTCGTTTGCTATTGGTATACAGGTTGCCTGAACTTTTGTTATAAACCGACCAATCTGAAATTCTACCCATGTATCCACGGAGTATAATGTCTATACGCGTCGCGCTTTAAAACAAAGAATCGCAATTTCCCTTCTATAAACCAGCATGCTACCAACGTCACTATATATATATATATATATATTTATTTATTTATTTATTTATTCATTTATTTATATATGCTTTCTAATTTTTGTACGATTTTAAACAAATTCCTTAGTGCTCCGACATTGCACTTGCAATAACCTATAGCTAATTGCGTACTGAACGTAGCGATTTTGTAGATATCACCGCTGGCTCACTACACTCCACCATTCCCTCGGGGTTTCTACCAGCTCTGTAGTTCTGTATATTCCCGTCAATCAATTATTCCTCAGGTAAGGCTAACGATTATCTCGCAGCGATGCTGCAATGCTGCTAGTTTACTTCAGTCGTGGTTATACTACTATATTTTACTTTAGTCGAGCTCAGATACGTCGAGCTGTTTTTTCTAGAATCGAGATTAATAATTATGTGTGTGTGTGTGTGTGTGTGTGTGTGTGTTTGAGCGTGTGTGTGTGTATGTCTACATAAACACATACAGAGAGAGAGATATATATATATCACCCGGATGAGATTTGCACGCGTTTTGTCTTGTAATTCTCGTTTTTTCGCGCGTATTTAATTTCCCGCAGTATCAAACGGCTTCATTAACGTGCTGCTAGAGACACGTGCCTAGCTGCTCTCGGTTGCAGCTGGGCAGAGAATCGCATAAGGAGGGATACAACAGTAAGCCTCCGCTAATTGTTCACCAATGTTGCACTATTTGGTCTCTAAAAAATGCCTTTTTGCGAATTTTTTTTCGGTGAAATTCGTCATTAGAGTGCACTCTTTTGCATTATGCACGCAAGTTAGATGCCTCATGGATGTCTAGAAAGGATTAGAAGTAAAATTGATCTTGTCGTGTGGCTGTGACATTCCGTCAAGTGGTGTAGCCATGGTGACCGGTTGGTCATTTTTGTGTTTTAAATTGATCCGACTACTTTGTAGAAATTCGCATCATAGAGCTGGCAAAAGTTTCAAGAGCATGAATCTGTAGTTATTTAACACGAATAAAGTGTATGTTGTGTATGCGACGAAACAGCGTGAGTATTTTTAATCAATTTCTGTTCGATGCTTATTCAGACCTGCTGCCTATGGACGCTTTCTACTGCTGTACAACACCATAAGAATTGGGTATAACAAGACAGACATCTTGCATGAACTTCGACGCTTCCATTTGGCGGGTGTCCTGCTCTAGCCTCTAATATTACCTATACCAGCCATTCTCTCTGAAACAGGACTTAGGCCCGCTCCTGATACAGGGCGAAGTGCTACAGAGGTAGAGCGCTACGCTAATGTGTGAAGGAGGCGGAACCACATGACGTATATATATGATAAAACCCATTTGCTGCCCAATTTTCGAAAACATCATTAATGCTTATAACCGCCGTGAGTCGGAATCGCAATAACCTTTGTCACAACACTTCGTGCGCAAAACCTATTGGGCTATATTTTATACTTATACGATGTTATGCTGATTTCTGATGTTATTGACAACTATAGCTCCAAAATTCCTTTTGTCAACACGAACGCGTGGTGGCAACAGCAAGATACGCACGGCAACGATACGTATGGTATATATACATACTGATAAGACGAGTACAGTTCTGCTTACCTCTCCAGTCGCTGCTACTCCTGTCGCCCGTATTACAAGAACGGACAATAACAAATATACTGACACGTCCACAAACGGTGCAGCCATCGTTGGGGGTTAGCTCGTTGCCTTCCGCGTCCGCCTTCTCAATTTCTCTTTCTCTCTCTCTCTTTGTATCTTTCTCGCGCGCGCCCTCTCTCGCTTGCTGTCTGTGCGTCTTTCGCGTGCGCCCTCTCTCTCTCTTTTTCTCTCGCGCTCTCTCTCGCTCCCTGTCTTTGTCTCGTTCTTGCACAGCAGAGACAAATCCAGACGACCCTGCACCGACGCTTTCTCTCACAAACTATAGCACGAACACGGAGATACCGCCTCCTTATATAGGGCCACGCGGGCAGGCTACACGCTTGAAACACAACGAGTCATCAACGAAGTTTCCACGCGCCAGCTGCACGCGATATAGAGCCAATAACCATCGCGGCGTCACGTGACAAGCACCTATCGATGACGTGTACGACACGGTGTGAGTTCATGCGGCTGGCGGCGGCGTTGCTCGCTCCGTCAATCGCTGCAGCAGCGCGCTCGCAGCGCACGCGCGGTCTCATCGCGTTTATTTTGCACTTGACCGCGTTTGATTGCGACAGTGACGGCGACGTGCGACGTTTATTTCTCCCCCCCCACGCCGCCGCTCGTAGCGGGACAACGCTCGCGAACCGCCCCCGCCACCGCCGCCAACGCTGCCGCCTCCTCCTCCGCCGCTGCTGCTGCTACCGCCGCTACCGCTGCTACCACAGGCGCTTGGAGCGTTTCAATAAAATATAATGCTAAATAAATACGAAATCTATTTGCTACCAAAGTCTGAATGTTTCTCTACTCTCGTTCGCCTATTATTGCCGACAATTTCCTGGAAATGCCGTGCAAATGCCGTGCAAATGCTCCTCTGCAATACACATGTAAACACGCACGCTGCCGCACACTGACACACATATATACACGGCCTTTACAGAAAATTGTCCGCAATAATAGGCGAAAGAGAGTATAGAAACTTGGTAGTACTAGTAAATGGATTTCGTGTTTAATTAGCATTATATTTTATTGACACGCTCCAAGTGCCTGTGGCCGCTACCGCCGCTGCCGCCTCCGCCTCCGCCTCCGCCGCCAAAGCTGCCGCCGCTGCTACTGCCGCCGCCGCCGCCGCCACCGCCGCCGTTGCTGCCGCCGCCGCCGCCACCG